TTGGGAATTTACAGAGCAATAAAGTGAAACCTCTATTGAGTAAGTGCTCAATGCCTCAGATTAGGGTTGCAACTTAGGGCTGTTTACTAAACTTACCCGGTAAGCGTTTACCTGGTCACTTACCTTATGGATGAACATGGCAAGATCAATCTTACCCGGTAAGAGCAATATCAAGGACCCTTTTACCCGGTAAGTGAAGGAGATGACTCCTATCCAATAAACGCTTACCAGGAAAATTGTTATATATGGTGGTGTTTTGATGGACTAGAATCTTACCGGGTAAGGTAAGTGATAGTGTTTAGAATGTTACCAATAAGCTTTAACCGGGTAAGCATTGGATAAACGGTTACGTTAGACCATTTCCAATGAGTGCACCAAATCTTGCAGCATACCCATTTCTGATCGGATCATGTTGTTTTAATATTTTGTTATTGTTTTTAATTTGCAGCTGGGGTACCAAATCTTGTTATGGTGGAGACTGTAGATGATGAGAAGGTAATACAATTTTTTGTTTATAATTTTGTGAAGACCTCCAATTAAATGTGGCAAGCATGTTAAACTGATTATCTTTTTGCTGCGTATTTGTTATGTAACTTGAGAAGTCTTTGTTGAATTGTTGCAACCTAGACATGAAAGTTTAGTGTCTGCTTGTAAGCAACTTGTGTGGCTTAACCCATTTATTAGTTCTTGGATAATCTTTATCTCAAACCAATGGAAGGAAAGCCGCTGGACTTTTCTTACTTCTTTTTTTGTCACTTGTAATACAATAGGGATCTTACCGTTGTTTAACCCACCAAGTTTAGGTTGGATTTGTGTAGTTCCTCTCAACGTTTGAGACTTAACCTCGCCGCTATGCCACGCCTCACGTCATTTACAACTTTAGAAGGGAAGTTATCGTGAGAAGCGTAAGAAGAGTTCTGAACCCTTGATCACTTTTAATCCCGTGCCCAGCCATGAATTGCGCTTTAGAAGGGAATTGATCTGGTGCATCTCATTAGTTTTGACATTCAATTAGGATTGATCCAAGGATGGAGATCTCTTCTTACGCTTCTCACTATAACTTCCCTTCTCACCGGAACCCAACCCTATATGTATGATAATATAAAGTTATATATAGATACATAAATACATTAAGTTACATATTAATATTTTATAATGCTATCATATATGTCGTATATTAATATGTAGGGTAGGATATGGATAATATAGGTTTATGAGATGGATAATTATCTGTTTGGTTACCTGCTATTTAGATGGATTGGATAACAGAATAACCCTTATCCTATCCGTTGCCGGCTCTACCCACTGCGTCACAGATCAGGGTGCACTTACAATCTGGTATGGTAGAGGCGACACCTCATAATCGAAATTGGCCCGAATAGCCCTGAGGCACGCCTTGGCCGTTTTTTTAACACCATGGTTCCTCTATGCTATATAAAAACGTGGGAGTAGAGAATTGATCATTTCAACGGTGCTTTGTCTTTGTGGAACATTTGCCACAAAGAAATATGAGAGTCCTTGTATAAGTTCATTTTCATAAGGGGATATTTAATCTTCATCCAAAGTATTCCTGACGGGAATTTGATGTATATCTTCTACTACCGGGCAGACATAATTCTACTCCTTTTTTGGGCAAATCTTACTTCGTTGCATATAAGTTGTTGGGTTTGTTTGGACCTTTTTTATGAAATTGGTTTTTCATTATTGAGTTATTAGGGTCGTATATGCAAGGATAGTAACCAGTTCTATTTCTTTTGTCGCCGATTTATATGTTAAGACAATTAAAATGCCTAATTCTCTGTTATCTAGATGGTATCAGCCATGCTCCATGACTCATTGTATGTTCCTTTTTCTTTTAGATTGCAAATAATCTTGATCGGGTTATCGGAAACATTGGCAGGAAACCTTTGAAGGTGTTGGTCCAGGTGAATACAAGTGGAGAAACATGTGAGTAGAACTTGACACTGAATTTTGCAATGACTAAACCCCAACATTGCCTTTTCTTCTTCTAATATACTCCCTCTAGTGTCTAATAAGTATCCACTTTTAAAAGTAAGTGCCTACTTTCCAGTTCTACCCTTAATTACAAGATAGAGAAATTCATTGCTCCATCTATTGTTAAGGGGTATAATTGTCATTCACTTAATTAAAAAGTGTAACAGTTGCACATTTCTAAAACTTTATACCATTTTCGTTGCGGAAATGTATTTTATGACGGGGAGGAATGATCTTAACATATAGTTTTCACATGAATGCAGCAAAATTTGGAGTTGACCCTGATGGGTGCTTGGAGCTTGTGAAACATGTTACTTCAAGCTGCCCAAACCTCGAGTTTTGTGGCTTAATGACAATTGGGATGCCTGATTATTCTTCAACTCCAGAGAACTTCAAGGTGATGACAAACATCTTTATGTTTTTAAATCTTTTGTTCTTCATTTGTTCGCCATGATAATAGGGTCGTCTTATATTAAGTGGTGTTGATGTTAGACATTAGCCAAGTGTAGAACCGAGGTATGCAACGCACTTGGAATACCCGAGGAGCAATGTGAACTGTCAATGGGCATGTCTGGTGACTTTGAGTTGGCTGTAAGTGAAACTTCTATTACTAGCAATCTTGACACTATCTCAGACTTCCTACATTAATTTGTACTTGATCTTTTAATCCTTTACCCTTGAATTTGTATTGCAAACTAAGACTATGGGACTGTTTACTACACACTTACCTTGGTAAAAGCTTACCAGTTCATTACCTTACTTACTGGATGAACATAACAAGGACTGAGAAACTTACCCGGTAAGAGGAAAGGCAAGGAACGATAGTTGTACCTGGTAAGGGAGGGTGGTGGCTCTTACCTGATAAGCGCTTACCATCAATCCATTTTGATGACCGGAAATGTTACTCCATAAGGTAAGTGAGAGTGGTGAGTTTTGCCAATAAGCGTTTGGTAAACAACCTATGTTTGGCAAACTAGCTGATAAGCTATGTAAAATTATCTAAAAACGATTAGGGCCTTTGGTCATTTTTGAAGTCGTTTTTCAATAAGTTAGCTAAGAGCATCTTCAATCAAACTCTTTATTTTCAAGTTAATGTATATATAGTTTTTTTTAAGGGATTCTTACTTCAGTCATGCTCTCTATATTAATAGCTATACATTTTTATAGTAGTATCTTTTATATTTCAATAGATGCAGTTTATTTTTTCTAATTATTAATAAAACATATAGTAATAAAATAATGTAGATATTTTTTAGGGAGCCTTCACATTAGGGTACTTGATAATGTAAATTAGGGTAGGAAGTGAGTTGTAGGGAGTGATGGTTTTTTGGTTGTGGCTTCCTACAATAGTTAAAAAATGGATGTAAGAAGTTGGTTGGAGATGCTGTTATAAGCTAGTTTATGGCTTATCAAATGTGCTTTTTCAATGAAGAGATCAAAACATAAGCCATCTTTTTTTTTTTATTAACCTGGATATCCAACCCGCTATGCGAACCGATTAATCCCAGGGCGACCGCCTGCTTTGCAGCGGAGTCACCACATTTGAACCTCCGTGGCCACAAGGGATTTTTATTCTGCTTGGATTTGAACTTGGGACCTCCTGGTACTTTTGACTTTTGGAGTTAAGCTCAAACCAATCAGGCACCACTCTTGTGGTTAAAAATAAGCCATCTTATGGTTGCTAAAGATGGTCTTCTTTTGAAAATGCCAAGAAACATTAAAGTGTCTAACAAAATCTCGAAAATAGAGATTTTGGTTATCTTTTTAGAGCATCTGATTAAGTAATGCTGTGTTATTTGTGTAGATTGAAATGGGCAGCACCAATGTGAGAATTGGATCCACCATTTTTGGAGCAAGGGAATACCCTAAAAAGCAATGAACGAAAAATCAGTTTTCGTGTCATCGATTCAATCTTCAAACATATGAAATTATGAATAAGCCTGAAGAGACGGAATATGCTATTCTGCACCCTCACAGTTGAGAGGTGTGTGCGGGTTCTTAAGCCAAAATCATCGTGGCTTATGGAAACCACTAATTGTGATTGTGTTGTTTGAAACTGTCGGGTTTTTGTGTGATTTTTTACCGCAATGGTAATAAATGAAACATAAAGATCATTTGAAGGTATGATAAATTGCAGGAAAGTTATGTCATCAGAATGTCTGATTTCAATGTTCCAGGTAACATCAAGTAACGTGTGCAGGGTGTATGCTTTGTTGGGTTGAGCGGTTTGAGGTATTTAAAACCGTTATAACCCTTACGGGTCGGGTCGGCAGCTTGTCATTTTTTAAAATTAAGTGTGTCTATTTGATTTTTTGCTGACTTTGGAGTATTGTCTGTCACTTGATTTAATCATATATGTAAAACCAATTGATACACAAGTGCATGCAACAAAAGAATTGGGCTTGCAAAAGATGAAAGAAAAACCGTTTCAACATCGAAAACAACACAAACTAGAGCAAACATATAATAACGGATTCTAAATTGTAACCAAGCGTCGCCTGTTTGTTCTATACCCGATTCATATCTGGAAAGTTTCTTCGGTCTGTTGCCTTCCCCCAACTAATAGATTCATATGTATATATGCACTATGTATGCAAGTATATATGCATTGGTGCATAAACTTATTAGAATTCATACAAGAATGTATATACAAGCTTCATAAGTGATGTTAGAGGTGTATGGTTATTTTGGAGTTGCATTTGTTGAATATGAACGTTAGGGGATTACTGTTGCGCTCCACGGTTTGGAACGGAAGACAACATATTTGCGATAGGAACTGCAACCTCATCAGGTTAGTTTAAGTAGGGGCGGGAACTGCAACCGTATAAATGCAGTTTAAAAAATCTTAATCCTTTCAAAAACATGTTAGAAATATAACCAAGCCCAACCTATACAATGCATGTAGGGTTGGCGACTTGAAACACTTGGCTTTTGGGTTGCACACAAACTCAAAAACCAAGCAGACCGACCCAAACCAACCCGAGGTAAAAGACAACCAAATTGATACAAAACAACATCAACC